ACCAACATACAGAAATACTTAGATACAATTGCTGATTGTTTTTTTTTTCTTAAGTATGGGTCATACTTTCTTGTTTCCTTGCATATCTCTAAATTTTTTGTTGAATGTTAGACATTTTAGATAATAAACTGTAGCAATTCTACAACGCTCTGATTTTCCCTGAAGGATACTGTTTTATCTGTTTGTGTTTTAGTAACTTAATGGACTAAAAGTCTGTTTCCCCCGCAATGTGTGGCCACTGATCTCTCTACTCCCTTTTTTCCCTCATTTTTCTTTTTAAGATCTTTTTAAGCTTTTTAGCATTCAGCCAAAGACTGATCAGAGATTTTATTTAAATTTCTCAATCTAGTAAGGTTTCCACTCCCAGGATGGGATTTGCATGTGGAATGAGAAGTGCATTCAAAGTTTGGGCCATTTACAAGTTGGCCCTAGATTTTAATACCACTAGGCCTGCTTGAATCTCCTCTCCACATATTTTTAGGCTCCACTGGCCAGTGATACGTGGGTGGCTTGCGCCTACTTCAGTTTCTACTGTGCGTGTCCACAGCCTCCAGTCAACCTGAGATAAGTGGTGAACTTCAAGCCCTCCTGACTGCCTTACCTCCTAGAACTCTATAAAATCCTGCTACTCCATGAGTCTGTTGCTTGCCACAAATTGGACCACAACCTCAGACTTGCAGAGCCATTGACCCTCCCTGTTCATTTGCAACTAAGATCACTACAGCCATTAACTTGTTATTGTGCTTTGCTTTAGTGCACTTCGCAGATGTTGCATTTTTAACATACTGAAAGTCTGTGGCAACCCTGCATCAAGCAATTCTATCGGTGCCATTTTTCTAACAGCATTTGCTCACTTCGTGTCTGTGTCACATTTTGGTAATTCTCGTGATATTTCAAATTTTTTCATTATCATTATATTTGTTATTGTGATCTGTGATCAGTGATCTTTGACATTACTATTGTAATTGTTTTGGGGGCGCCACAAACCATGCCCATATAAGACAGTGAACTTAATTGATAAATGTTGTATGTGTTCTGACTGCTCCACTGACCGGCCATTCCCCGGTCTATCTCCCTCTCCTTAGGCCTATTTCCTGAGATACAACAATATTGAAATTAGGCCAGTTAATAACCCTACAGTGGCCTCTAAGTGTTCAAGGAAAAAGAAGAGTCTCATGTCTCTCACTCTATATCAAAAGATAGAAATGATTAAGCTTAGTGAGAAAGGCATGTCAAAAGCCAAAACAGGCCAAAAACTAGGCCTCTGGTGTCAAACAGTTAGCCACGCTGTGAATGCAAAGAAAAGGTTCTTGAAGGAAATTAAAAGTGCTACTCCAGTGAACACATGAATACTGAGAGAGCAAAACAGCCTTAATGCTGATATGGAGAAAGTTTTAGTGGTCTGGATAGAAAATCAAATGAGCCACAACACTCCTTGAAGCCAAAACCTAATCCAGAGCAAGGCCCTCCCTCTCTTAAGTTCTATGAAGACTGAGAGAAGTGAGGAAGCTACAGAAGAAAAGTCTGAAGCTAGCAGAGGTTGGTTCATGAGGTTTAAGGAAAGATGCCATCTCCATAACATAAAAGTTCAAGGTGAAGAAGCACAAGCTGATGTAGAAGCTGCAGCAAGTTCTCCAGAAGATCTAGCTAAGATAATCAATGAACGCGGTTACACTAAACAACAGATTTTCAATGTAGACGAAACAGCATTAAATTGGAAGATGCTATCTAGGACTTGCATGGCTAGAGAGGAGAAATCAATGCCTGGTTTCAAAGCTTTTTGACTCCCTTGTTAGAGGCTAAGATAGCTGGTGACTTTAAGGTGAAGCTAATGTTCATTTACCATTCTGAAACTCCTAAGGCCCTTAAGAATTATGCTAAATCTACTCTGCCTGTGCTCTATAAATGGAACAACAAAGCTTGGATGACAGCCCATCTGTTTACAACATGATTTACTAACTATTTTAAGCCCACTGTTGAGACCTACTGCTCAGAAAAAAAGATTCCTTTCAAAATATTACTGCTCATTGACAGTGTACCTGGTCACCCAAGAGCTCTGATGGAGATGTACAATGAGATTAATGTTGTTTTCATGCCTGCTAACACAACATTCATTCTGCAACCATGGATCAAGGAGTAATTTCGACTTTCAAGTCTTAATATTTAAGAAATACATTTCGTAAGGATATAGATAGCTGCCATAGTGATTCCTCTGATGGATCTGGGCAAAGTAAATTGAAAACCTTCTCTAAAGGATTCACTATTCTAGATGCCATTCCTGATTCATGGGAAGTGGTCAAAATATCAACGTTAACAGGAGTTTGGAAGAAGTTGATTCCAACTCGCATGGATGACTTCAAGGGGTTCAAGACTTCAGCGAAGGAAGTAACTGCAGATGTGATGGAAATAGCAAGACAACTAGAATTAGAAGTGGAGCCTGAAGATGTGACTGGATTGCTGCAATCTCATGATAAAACTTTAATAGATGAGAAGTTGCTTCTTATGGATGAACAAAGAAAGTAGTTTCTTGAGATGGAAACTACTCCTGATGAAGATGCTGTGAAGATTGTCGAAATAACAACAAAGGATTTAGAATATTGCCTAAACTTAGTTCATAAAGCTGTGGCAGGGTTTGAGAGGACTGATCCAATCTTGAAAGTAGTTCTACTGTGGGTAAAATGCTATCAAAGAGCATTGCATGCTATAGAGAAATCGTTAATGAAAGGAAGAGTTAATTGATATGGCAAACTGCATTGTTGTCTTATTTTAAGAAATTTCTACAGCCACCCCAACCTTTAGCAACCACCATCCTGATCAGTTGGCATCCATCAACATTGAGGCAAGACCCTCCACCAGCAAAAAGATTACGACTCACTAAAGGCTCAGATGATGGTTAGCATTTTTTAGCAATAAAGTATTTTTTAATTAAGGTATGTACATGTTTTTTTAGACATAATGCTATTGCACACTGAACATACTACAGTATAGTATAAACATAACTTTATATGTACTTGGAAACCAGAAAAATCCACGTGACTCACTTTATCGCAATATTCACTTCAATGCGGTGGTCTGGAACCGAACCTTCAATATCTCCAAGGTATGCCTACATTTTAATCTACAATACTTCCTATCAAGTGCTCTCTCTCCAGCAGTGGCAGCAAAGCTTCTGGTTTCCAAGGCCTGCCCCATCCTCAGTGAAAAGCCACAACAATAAAGCTGGGATGAAGAGGGAGGTGGAGTAGCACCAGATAAGAACACTACAAACTTGTATTATTCTTACCCCGAGTTCAGTACTTTTCCTGAATAAAGCTTCTCAATTTGTTTGGTTGATTTCCAGAGCACTGACTTAGTTGTTTTGATAGTTGTGTCCAGCTTTATGGTTGCTTTGTGGGGAGAGCAATCAAATTTCCTACTCAGTCATGCCAGCCATTCCTTGTTGTCACAGTGTATATCATGTTGCTGTAGTCCAAAGTTCAACTACACCAAATCTTGGCTATAACTTTGAGATTGTATTTACCTCTGAGATAAAATTGCAAGTTCACTTCTGTGTTATTCATATTCTATGCACAGATCTGTAGCTATTTTAGATTAGATATATTAGACTCAGCTTCATTTTTTTTTTGGACTGCTACTAGGAAAAACTGATCTTGTGCATATGCGTTTGTGTGTAGGATAGACAAGAGTTAAATATTTCTCTATATCAATAATACAAAGAACCTACTAAAAATGTAATACAGTCAGAGGCAAAATCATGCTAACAGACTATATGTATTTAGTCCAGATACCACAGTATATGAGAGATACTGATAACTCATAGTATATGAAAATGATACTAAAAGGTATGGAAACTATGGAATATAAAAAATATTTGAGAGAAGTGTCAATGTTCACCCTGGAGAAAAATGACATATTGCTAGCCTTTCAAATACTTAAAGTAGATTTACTCACTACTCATATAGAGGGCAGAATCAAAACTAATGGGGATGGGCCGGCCCCGTGGCTTAGCGGTTAGGAGTGCGCGCTCCGCTACTGGCGGCCCGGGTTCAGATCCCGGGCGTGCACCGACACACTGCTTCTCTGGCCATGCTGAGGCCGAGTCCCACATACAGCAACTAGGAGGATGTGCAGCTATGACCTACAACTGTCTACTGGGGCTTTGGGGGAACAATAAATAAACAAAATAAAAATTAAAAAAAAAAAAAAAAAACTAATGGGGATAATTTTGAGTTCGATATACAAAATTAACTATTTAACAACTTAAGCTAAAACAACTGAACTGGTTTAGTTCTCTTGCAAAGTGATGAGCTTCTCTCATTGAGAATGATCATGATAGACTGGACAACCATCTTTTTAAGGAGTTTTTATACAGGAGATGGACTAGATGACCTTTCATCACCAAGTTTCTCTAATTTTATAAAAACAAACAGATAAAAATTTAAATGACTAAAAGATAACACTGTCAGCAAAAATAACGTAAAATACACATAAAGATTACCATAATTTGGGTTATTCATAATAAATAAGGGAATGGGTCACAAAAACTATTTCTAAAAGACATGGATTCCACTGTACTATTGGGTCTCAAATGGCAACAATATCCTGGATAATCATAAGAAAGCTATTAGAAGCAGAAAACACTATCCTACCACTGCACAAAGCTATGATCTATAGCTCTGGTTGCTCTAACTCTAAAACAAGAAAACTGAAGTGGGAACAAAAGACAACTCAAATGACCAAGATATAGATATTACTACATAAAATCAGACTTCATTCTGGAAAGGCAAAAGTTGATGGGTGCATAACAAATATTTATAAAGGACATGAAGGGCACAAATAAGGTAAACTCAGACTTGTTCACTAAAATGTGGAGGATAACTCTTTAACTCTGAAATAGGAAAGGTTAGCACAGATAAAGGAAATACCATTATATCCAGGAAACAGTAAGATAATTTGCTAGGACCAAAACAGGTTGTGGACTGAAAACAGAAATAACTTACCTCTTTTAGTTGATCAGCACTCCCCCATGATGCAGAACGCTGATGTGACCTCTTTTCTGCTCCCTCTTCTGCCCAACAGCTAGGTGTCTTTAAAAAAAATGAATAAAATAAAATAAAAAATAAGGAATTTGTCTCTACTCTTTAAACGTACAGCAACTCAGACATATTTCAAATCTTAGCACATACCAATTAAAGGACTATACAAATACTAAGATCCCTTAAACACTAAGATTTTCATGACTTTGTGAAATGTTTAAAACATTCTGTCATAATCTGAATTGGACATGATCAATCTAAGACGTTTCTAGGTAATGTTACTCAAAACGTGGTTTTTCACATCAACAACATTAATAACAAAGTTCTCAAATTGAGAGAGAATTGTGAAGATATGCATATTGGTGCTTTTAAAGAGAAGAGCCAAACTAAACATGAAATAGTATTTCTACTAAATAAAATAGACATTAGTAAGATTAACAGAAGTAGCTCAGAAGCAGTGGGATTATAGATGACCTACGTGTCAAATATCTAGCTAGATAGAAGGCTGATTGTACTAGCCTTCCGTTAATCAGGAAAGATAGTGTTAGCAATAGTATCATTTTTTGAAAAATATCAAGCGCCTTTATATAAAAATATAAATTTTTTATAAAAGTGAAAAAGAAAAAGGTTAAGCTAAATAAACTGACTATAATGTGAATAATGCATCTTTTTTTTAAAAAACAAACCTGACTTGAGCTATGTCAGAAAACCAAATTATTTTTATTTAAAATCTAATTTTCAATTATTTAACTAGTAATAGACACTATACCCAAATGTAACAAAAACACTAAATCCCAAATGGCAAGACTATTTAGTAGTTGTATTAAAAATCAAACAATATTAAAATATCATCCTTAATATATGAAATGACTCTTAGTATAATGCAAATTGGGGTAAGCAAAAACCACTATTTAAAGACATAGGGTGGGCCGGCCCCGTGGCTTAGCGGTTAAGTGCGTGCGCTCCGCTGCTGGCGGCCCGGGTTCGGGTCCCGGGCGCACACAGACGCGCCGCTTCTCCGGCCATGCTGAGGCCGCGTCCACATGCAGGAGCTAGAAGGATGTGCAGCTATGACATACAACTATCTACTGGGGCTTTGGGGAAAAAAGATAAATTGAAAAAAAAAATTAAAAAAATTTAAAGACAAAGGGTAATGATTATCACAAGAAACAGATACAGCTTTAAAAATTATTTTTTATCACATACTGAAAAAATCATTGCTTATGTTGGGGCTGCACCCGTGACTCTACATAATATATAACTTCTTATGAAGAAGGCATCAGTTCTACTTTATACAATTCAAAATGCTTGTGGACAACTTTTAAAATAACTACCACCTCTTAAAAGTAACGATACTCCAAAATGAAACCAGTAACAATTGAATGCTAGTTGAATAAAAACACAAACTGCTTCACAGTTCAAATACTAAAGTGAAGCTGTTTGGTCATAATTGAGAGAGTAAAATATTTTATTTGATTGGCAAGTGCCGGGATAAGAGCTATCAATATATTAAATAAACTGCTTGCAAAGAACTATTTAGTTATTAAAATTTCCTAAGTTCAGTGCGAGATAAGACAAACTACTCTGAAAATAATTTAGCCCCCTCTCAGTAGTCATGTCTTAAGTAATCAAAATTATTCAATTATGACAGTTTATTTCAGTCAAACTTTTGAGAATTTATATGCCTTAATACTTTTACCTTTCTACCAAGCACAAGCATTATTCTTGTTAAAAATCAAACGATTAAGGATCACAATGTTTAAAACTCAAAAGTACATGCACAGAAAATGAGTCAAATTTTTGGCATGTTCCATAATTATTTAACACTAACATTTATAACTAATTATTTTCATTTTGTCAGCTCTAAATTTTTCAAAGGACATTTAGATAAACTGTATCTCCAACTCAGAGATAAATCAATAGTTACAAAAATTCTGTGACTACACTGCCAAGCATGCCAATGGCAAATGGAACTAAGTCTGACAAGTCTCTTATCTCACAGAACATTGTTTCTTCATATCATCATTCTTTTCTTAAAATTGAACAGGAAAACCTCTTTGATTACTTCAGAATGTAGTATTAGCTATACAAAACAAATAAAAACCAACTATAAAATAATATTGATGTTCCTGAAATCCAGCTAGTAAAACATGTAGTTTTTTAAAGTGCAAAACTACTGCAAGAGTACTCTCAATCATGTGGCTAAAAAGTACATGCATATAAACTGTTTAAGTATCTTCACTCTAGTCTCAACTTTCCAAAAAACACTCTCAAAGAGTAATTTCATTTTAATCACATTGATTTAAAATCAATAGCATGAAAAACACACTAGTCTACAAATATATTCCATACACTGCATTGTTCAATACAAAAGCTACTAGCCACATGCAATAATTTAAAATTAACTTAATGAAAATTAAAACTAAAAATTCAGTTCCTTAGTCGCACTGGCACAGTTCAAATACACAATAATCACATGTGGCTAGTGGCTACAGGCCACCATATAGGACAGCACAGAAATGGAACATTTCCATCACTGCAGCAAGTTCTACTGAGAACAGTGTTTTACATTTAATCACTGATTTTTAACAAGATATTTTAGTCACAGCAAAACCAAAAGATGGCTACTTACTTTACCAAATGTATTTAAAGCTCATGCTTGTCACAGAAGATGAACTAATTTGTATCCAATTGGTTAAATCTGAATATTTCAGAAATGTTTTACCATTTAAATTAGGAAAACAACAATACAAAGTAGCAAAGTTCTTTCCTTTCATATCAGCAAGGAATTCTTTCCAACTAGCCTGTTATTCTGTCCACTAACCCAGAGAAGAATTTTATGAACTGTGCTACTTTAGAACATTGCTCCTGGATGTTAGTAAGAATATATGACAAAAGGGTTCCATGGTCAAATAAAAGTGGGAAATATTGTATATTATATCTTCCTCTATTCAATGTACAATGTAATTAGCATTTTAAAAACTGAAACATACAAACACACACACACTTTGTAAAAAATCTGCTTTACTTTCTTTCTCTTACTTACATGCTCTCACAACTTATTTTACAAGTATGCTTATTATTATCTTCCACAGACAGCTTGGAAAGAAATATAATCCTCAATAATCTGTATTGTACATAACAGCTTGCTCTTCAGCCACCATACTTTAGGGGATTCGTCCTAGTGTTTCTAGCTGCCTCCACTTAGACTACCAGGGAAGAGAAAATGAACCTTTCATACACTTGAGCAATGCAGAGCTAAAGCCTATCTCTAAGACCGTTGACAAAAAGGCTTAAAAAATCCTCTCTATGTGAAAAGGATACCTATACGTGGAAGAGGCCATTTTTTATTTTCATCCCTCAGAATCACCCTAAGTCCAGCCCATAAACTGTTTTTTCCAACCCCCAGGTCCATCCCCCTACCTCTGGTTTCTTGTCTGAGGACCACTTCTTCTCTGAGTGAACTACACAGAAAACAGTCCTATTGCACAGGACTGCACATTTGTTTTTAAGACTATTTTTTAAGAGCAATTTTAGGGTCACAGCAAAACTGAAAGGAAGCTACAGAGATTTCCTATATACCTCTTATCCCCACAAATGCACAGCCTCCCCCATTATCAACATCCCCCACCAGAGTGGTACATTTGTTACAACTGATGAACCTACATTAACACCTCATTACCACCCAAAGTCCGTAGTTTATATTAGGGTTCACTCTTGGTGTTGCACATTCTGTGGGTCTGGACAAATGTATAATGATATGTATCCATCATTATAGCATCATATAGAGTATTTTCACTGCCCTAAAAATTCTTTGTGCTCTGCCTATTTATTCCTCCCTGTTCCACAACCCCTGGTAACCACTGATCTTTTTCCTGTCTCCATAGTTTTGCCTTTTCCAGAATGTCATATAGTTGGAATCATACAATAGGTCACCTTTTCAGAGTGGCTTCTTTCACTTAGTAATATACACTTAAGGTTCCTCCAGGTCTTTTCATGACTTGATAGCTCCTTTCTTTTTAGTGCTGAATAATATACCATTGTCTGGATGTACCACACTTTATTCATCCATTCACCTACTGAAGGACATCTTGGTTGCTTCTGAGTTTGGGGAATTATGAATAGAGCTGCTACAAACATCTGTGTCCAGGTTTTTGTGTGGACATAAGTTTTCAACCCCTCTGGGTAAATACCAAGGAGCATGACCACTGGATCATACAGTAAGAGTATGTTTAGTTTTGTAAGAAACCGCCAAACTGTCTTCTAAAGTGGCTGTACCGTTTTGAACTCCCGTCAGTAACAAATGAGAGTTCCTCTTGATCTACATCCTGGCCAGTATTTGTTGTCAGCATTCTGCACTTTAGCCATTCTAATAGGTATGTCGTGGTATCCCATCGTTGTTTTAATTTGCATTTCCCTGATGACATACGATGTGGAGCATCTTTTCATAATACTTATTTGCCATCTTCCTTGGTGAGAGAGACATCTGTTAAGGTCTTTGGCCCATTTTTTAATCAGGTTGTTTGTTTTCTTATTACTGAGTTTTAAGAGTTCTCTGTGTATTTTGGATAATGGTCCTTTATCAGATGTGAATACTGGGTACTTTTGTTATTTATATCTGTCACAAACTAGCAAGGGCAAATATGCTTTCCTGCTTTAACAATTTCAAAACAGATCAAACTAACTCCTAGCAAGAAAATATTCTTTTTCAATATGCAAGAGACTAAAGCCAGTTTCAAAAAACCCACCAAAACAAAAAAACTAATTACAAAATTCTCTTTATCTTATTTAAAACTTACTTAAAGCTTATGTAAAACTTTAACATCTGTTTTTTGTACGATTCATCCTTGGCCTTGAAATTTACTGTAGTTTATAATTATGGAAATATAATTATCGACTGTTAATTATTTTACAGTACTTAAATAGATGATCTTGAGTATTAAAGTACTGATAAACCTAGAAAGAAATGAAATAGAATTACTTTAAAATCCATGATACTTGAATTAATAATTATGATTATAGACTGATTTTAAGTTATAAAAGTTTTAAAA